CGCGGGAAAAGCGCGCGGCTCCTTTAAGGCGGGCGGGCGGGCGGCGCGAGCCGGGGGCGTGTCCCCGCGCGGGCTCGTCCCGCCGCCGCCGCCGCCGCCGCCGCCGCCGCCGCCGTCACTCGCGCTGCTCGGCGCCCGCAGACGCGCTCGCCCGGCCCGAGCCGGCGCCCCGCCGCTGCCCGGAGGACCCCTCGCGCCGGCGCCTGCCCAGGTAAGGACGGCGAGGCTCGGCCGCGCCCACGGGGGACCCGGGCGGGGCACCTGCTGGACCTGCTGGACCTGCGCCCCGCGCCCGCCCGGCCCGGCCTCCCCCGGCGGGGATCCCCGGGCCTCGCTTCTCACACAAAATAATTTCATCCGTGGCGCGTCGGGAAGTGGCCTCGGCCACGGGGCTCGGGCGCGGCGCAGAGACGGTGAGACGGACGGCGGAAGCCCGGAGCCCGCCTGCGGGCCTGCGGGGTCCCGGCGCCCCCTCTGGGCGTCCAGCCACCCGCTCCCCACTGCCGCGCCCGAGAGGTGCAGACGGCGTTCTCACCGAGGCCGGATTCAGCACACTTGAAAAACTCCGAGGGCGTCCCACTAGGGTAAGGAGTGGTAGTGTCGCTGGGTGGGTCACAGGCGCCCAGAACTTTTAATGAACCGCATCTCCTGGTGTTTTACCTTTAGAGAGGTCTCAGCCCTCTCTTTCTGGGTGCCCTCCCCTCCCGCCCCAGCCAACAGGACTAGTGTGAGGCTTCTTAGACAGTGTTTCCCAATGTAGAGGATAGGGAATAGATCTTTAAAAACGCCTTTGGGTACTGCGCAGATTATCTTCTATCTTTGTCATTATACTGTAAGTATTCTTCAATTAAGAATTACCTTGTGGATTCATGTTTATTTTAATTTCACAGAAACCATTGATTCATTTGAAACTTAGTCTGTAGTTTAATTGCTGGAATATAAGTAATTTTATTTCAATCTCGACTTGTCTGGATTTACTACTTTATAACTTTTGTACAACAGATTTCTTTAACAACCAAGGCACTTTATCAACTTTCTCCTTGTGGTTTTAGGCATATATGAGTTAAAGAAAAAAATGCACAGAGGAGGGTGATAGAGAAACTGGAGATGCCTACAATTCTACCTGTTTCCTTTTATTTAAGCCTATTGAATATTGCACAAGCTGTTTTTTAAATGTTCCAGGCCACATAAATCTATTCTGCTTCAATTTCTTAATTAAGATACGTTTCAGCATCTAAAATTAATTAAAATTTTAAGTGTCATTAATCATCAGTGCAGCAAGCAGAATGTGGATGTTCGGGAGTCACAAGGGATACCCTAGATTCATAGTTGGAAGATTGGATTTCAAGTATGCAACAGTGTAGTTTCAATTGATCTCAGCCCGTTTTTATTTTCTGGCCCCTTTAATGTCATGAGTGAACAAGCTGTTTGTTTTAGCTCACCTGCTATGCAACAGGCCACTTGCATGAAGAATAGGTTGGGTATTACTGTAAGACGAGGTTTCTCAAATGCCACATAGCAGCAAAACTTCATTTACAAGTAGGAATTCCAAGAGAAAAATTTAAAGTATAGTTCTGGTGTGGAAGAACCTTTGAAGCACTTTCAAAATTCAGGTTGTATTGGGATATATGTTTGCTGTTTCCAGCAAAAGCTATAGGCATTGTCTTTTTAAATGTTGTGCTGTGAGGATTATTACACATTTGTTCGTGCCCCAGCAGGTGGCAGCTAACTAGAATAAGATTCATTTTCACCAGGAGAATAGGAAACTGAAATTGCTGCTCAAGTAATAGTGCCCAAGAATAAGAGGTCATTACTGTCATCAAATACAAAACTGCAGGGAAAGATGAAGTTAATAGCTTTTTGTTGTTGTTGTTGTTGTTGTTTTGGAATAGGCTTTGAATGAACATGACACGTATTTTCTTCTTTTAGTATTTATCATAGACATTTATTTTCTCTCAGCCTTTTATAGTATTTTTTTCAAGGTTTCCTTTTAGCACAACTCTTCTCTGTGTGTGGATATGTGTGTGTTCACAGTTTTTCGTTTCTGCTTTGACCTTGAAACGTACAGAGCCTTGACTCCTAGAAATAAAGGTTGTCATGTGGCTAAAATGCGTAATGAGGCAAATAGAGACCACAGAATAAAGTAAATATATAAATAGTATTACTCAGTACAAACGGTCACCTGACATCCATTTGTAGTGTTCCTTTTCCTTTATAAAAGGAGCAAACTACAGAACTGATGCAATTTTTAAAATTGTGTAATTTGGTCATTGCAATATTGCATAATGATCTTATTAGTCTTCATAACCACAGAACTATGCTTATCATGCTTACTGGGGAAAAAACTTAATAGTAATTTAAAATTGCCATATAATGAGGCACCTTCTATACCACCAAATCATTTTGTTGTACTAGGGAGGTGAATTTAGTAAGTTTTATTGTTGCTGTTCTGGGGAATGACTGAATTAATCTGATTACCCTGATAACAGCTGGAACTCTGAAGGTAGAGAATTGAATGTGATAACTAATTGTACATTTCAGAAGTGTCTTTAGCCACTGGATACCAGCAGTGTGTTTTAGAACACGGTCATGCAGGAAATTTTTTGTACTGAGAATCAAGTAGTTTAGTACTCACGGATCTCACAGTGAGAGTAGTGGCTTTTGTAGTAGTAGACTGCACACCTTGTGTATGTCAAACAACCTCAGTTATACTGAAAATTTTACAGCACATAGTTGACAAATTGTTCTCTTACAGTGTATCCTTCAATAATTCAAATTACTTGACTCTTTGTGATAGAAATATGTATACTGTCACTTCAAATCGCATATTATTAGCCATTCAATGTACTAGTTTCAGTGACAAAGCCACAATAAATCCAGGCCCGGAACACTGTCCATGGTCCTGAAGATCTTTAGTTGTGTAGGGGTCCAATAGGGCAGGTAAAGTTACTGTCTATTGTATTAAAGGTTTTCAACTTAGTTGATGCATGTAAATGAACCTAATGTAGCATATGTGCAAAATCTGTCTTTGGGGATCAATTAGTGGTAATAAGTACAGAACTCAAGGTTAGACATTTTTACTGTTTATTTTGTATGAACTTCATAAATCTGGAAGATTGAGCTTTCAGTTTTCTAACTAGCCATTCAACAAATAACCCCACACAAACTAAATAATTTGCAACACTAGTTTTATGTAGATACATTCTAATATGTACAAGTACCATTATGCTAATAGAATATATGAACAAAGAGTTATGGTAGCTTTTTGTTTTCTCAGGTTTCACTAAAAGCTAGCTACACTGTAAAACTTGCAGTCTTTTGATTAGCCATGATAGAACATGTTATTTTCAGGTAGTATATATCAATTATATTGGGAGATATTATTAGTGCTCAGGCACTAATGATATTTATTTTTTCCTGGCAGTCATTATTATCTCTCCTAGAATCAAAATAAAAAGAACAAGTAGAATAGAATCAATGAGACAGCAAATACAAGACATTGTTGGGCTGTAAATGTTTTACAAGAGATATTTTAAATTTGGACTGAAGGAGTCGCTAGATACCCTTAGTTTTAGCAGTAGGTATTCCTTTTTAAAGTGCTCAGATAGTTGAATTATTTGATTGAATTGCCTACTAGACTGCAGAACTAGCCATTCATGATACTTATTTTTGACACTGCAGTTGTTTCTCCATCTTTAAGAAAATCAATGCCACTTAGTGATTTTGCAGATGTAGATTTTCCTCAAATCAGCATTTCATAATCTTATGAAAATACAAAGTAAAACATCACTGTAATGGGAAGACTACATTATTTACTTGCTATTTGAAGAAATATAACAAGAATTAAATACATACTCATATCATGTCTTATTTTAAAATTAGACTGTCTTCAAAAAGGACATCTTATAAATTTTCATAGATTTTAATCTATCCTTTGCTAGTTGGTAATGAAAAAAGACTAATTGTAAAGTACAAGTCCAACAGTTTGCCTTTTGTACCGCTCAGTCAATTAAAAACATTGAGTTCTGTACTTACTACTATTCGTTTTTACTTACAGATATGAAATATTAGCATTGAATATTTTAATCTATAGGCATTATATTATCTTTTTCAGCCACAAAAATTATTTTAATGTTAAGATAAGTATGTTTCTGCATTATTCCTAGAATAAATTGCTACTTAGGAAAGCTCAGAGTATAGATTCTAAATATTCCCACCAGAACATTGACAAAATCATACAATCTTTGCAGACAAAGGTGTGACACTCTATGTTGCTGAAGCTATGATTCTATATTCTTTGTAAAGATTACAAAAGAAAGAGAGAGAGAGAGAGAGAGAGAGAGAAAGAGAGAGAGAAAGAATATGTGAGCACAGAAAGCCTTTGGAGTTTGCTGCACGAATTCCAATACTGGGTTTGGTATGTGTACAACTACTGTAGATGAGCTAAAATGGGTGGGAAAATATGACTTCCTCATTTAATTACAATTTTTCTCTCCAAAAGTCCACTTGAAGAAATTTCTGTTTACTTCTGGGTTGTGATCAGGGCATTCTCAACTTAAGTTTTTCAACATTACAGTCACCCTCCAATGGCATTAACACTCTGTATTCATTTGTAGTCAAAATACAATAAAAAGGCATATGAATTTCTTTTCACCCAGCCATAAGTTAGATGTACAGTAAATTCCTCTCTTAGAACATTTCCTTCTTTACAATCCCTAGGCAAAGTGACTTTGACTTAGCCAGTCAGTGATTAAAATTCATCAGTTGATTGTAGGAAGTCTGCTTGTATACACCAGTCACTCTTAGCAGAGCCTTACTGAAAATGAAAACAATTTTTATCACGTAAATAAATCTGACTCCTGTTTTACAACTCCAAGGGGGCTAGGAGATCGATTGCATAATAGATACTGGGAAGCTCAGTGGCAGGAAGCCTTCAGAGGTGAGCAGCTATCTCAATTTTTCTCACTTAGTCTTGGCTTCACGTCAGAAGCTGTGCAGCAGTGCAGCAGAACAGGGCCAGGCCGAACCTTTGGGAGCGCAGCGCCTTGTGTGCTGGGACTGGGGCTGCCTCACCTTGCGCGTTTGCAAGCCCGGGCTTCCTGTTGATTTTCCTCCCCTTGCTCCCCCAGGCTCGCGCCCCGGACGTGGTGGGTGTGCGTGCTGGATTTCTCCCGGATGCGCCCCGGCTAACATGGAAGTCCCACCATCCCTTGCAGTGGAAGGTTGCTCCTTGGCGCAGTGAGTGAAGAACATGCAGCGATTGCTAATGGGTTTGGGAAGCGGAGACTCCTTCCTCTTTCTGTGACCATGCCGTGATCGTGTCCGTGGCTACCACTCCACGCATCCTCGTTCCTGCCCGACCGGGAGCCTCACGCTAGATCGGGGAAGTGGGTGCCGCGCGTGCAGGCACGGAAACACCATGAAGATTATTTCCCCGATTCTAAGTAATCTAGTCTTCAGGCGCTGCATTAAACTACTGCTGTGTTTGCTGTGGATTGGATACTCGCGAGGAACCACACATGTGCTGAGATTCGGTAAGATTCCCCCAAACCTCCCCGCTGCCGGCTCCGAGCTGCCGGATGTAAACAGGCGGCTGCGCTGCGCCAGGCGCTCGGCTTGTTTCCTCCGCCTGCACGATGCTCACTGCCTTCCGGGTTCTTTAAACCCCTGAGCTCGCATTTATTTACTGCTTTATTTTTATTGTTTTTAAATGCGTGACCGCGCGCGCGCGCGCGCGCGTGTGTGTGTGTGTGTGTGTGTGTGTGTATGTATGTGTGTGAATCCGCGGTCCCTCGCGTGGCCTCTCCACGGTGGCCAGTCGCGGAGAAGGTGACGACGCTGGGGCCCTGCCAGCGCTGTGTCCTCCGGCCTCCCCAGCCTCCGGGCTGGACTAGCGTGTGCCACTCGGACGGCTCAGTGCTGGGCTGCAAGAATCTGAGCTGGCGCAGCTGCTCAGTTGGTATCTGGTAAACTCTGGCTAGTTGCGCCTGTCCGCTTCTGCTCGACCCTGGCAGGCCCTCAAGTGCAAAGGAAAAGCATTAGTCCTATTAATTTCTCTTATCAGAATCTGTTCAGTTAACAATAGCTTTTTCGTTTTTTGATACCCTTACAGAGGCGCAGAGTTGTAGAAAAAACATTGTTGTAAGATTCAAGCATTTACTTAATAAGGGGAGGAGGCGCAGCAAAACGATGTTGGAATAAGGCAGGCTTCTTTTTTGTTTTTGTTTTTAACTTGCTAAATTCTTCTTTCCCAGCTTTTTCTTTGAGAGTCCTAATCTACTTAGTAACTGGGGGTGTGTGTGGGAGGGGAGTGGGTATATGGGGGGTCTCAATCTGCATCTTTATTTTATTCTGGCATGATGAAAGGACGGAGACAGCTGGACTTCAGGAGAATTTACTGCATTATTAAGAATCAAGGTTGCATTGCAGCTTGAAGGAAAATGTAAACGTGGGACTCCGGTGGAATCCCACGTCAGGAGGCATGCCCTGAGGAACTGCAAAGGATAGCCAGAGCTCTGGGGCCAGTAGAGTTTTAGCAGCTGAAACTAGTCAGAGAAAGTTAGGTAGCAGCAAGAAAGGACAACTGGATAAATACTATTACAGAAGACAAGTCCTTTGTCAGTCAGTTCAGGTGGAATTAGACCAGAGTGCAGGAAGCCAAATAATCCTGAGTACATGTTTCCCAGATAAAAGCAGATGCATTAAGTTATTCAGTCCAATTTAAAGCAAAGTGTAATTTCTGTATCTTTTAAAACACCAGTAACATCTTCTATTTCCCCATTTTTCTTTAGTGCTAAAATTCACTTTCCTAGGCTTTTTGAAACTAAGGTAGTGATGCCTTCACATATATTAGAAAGCCCCCATCCCCAGATATCTGGTGTCAAGTAGCCTGGTAATGACAAGGGACAATAGGTTAAGGCTGGATTTCTACTGTAATAGTTTTCTTGCTTCCTTAATGTCTGTATGGTACTTAACTATGTTTCTGTTAGCAAAAAGCATCCATAGGCATGCTTGCTTCTTTAGACAGGAGTAAACAGGTCCCTAAATTACTGGAAACTACTGTGTCTGTGTGTGTGTGCACCCACATGGGTTTTCAACAGTTCTGTTTCAAGCATGCTATTATAGTCATGGTGGTTCTGCCTACTATCTTCAGTGTTAGAGTGTACCTATGTGGAATCCTGAGGTGATTTGTAACATGAGTGTGAATGAGTGTGCACTGGAAAGTGTGTTTGTGGACCAGGCGGGAAGAAAAGACCACTTGGCACAGGAAAATTGCCACCAATCCCCTGAAGATTTAATTATTGCTGCTCTGGCCTGGCAGCACAATATTTGCTGAATCATTAGATTGTTACATTCGCTGATCGTTTCATATCTTTGTATTAAAAATCTTGGCGACTGTTAGCAGCGTGTGTAGCAGCTTTCCAAAACAGCTGACACATCCATAAAAATACATTTTCCTAGACCAGTTTTTAGTAAGAGTGACATTAAACACAATACTACACAAAGACCTCTATACTAGTCCCTGAATACCTTAAGCCAACAGCACAGTTTCTACATAACCTGTTATTTTTACATTAATTTCAAATAACTTCCACGTAGATCCATTTTTTTTTTTTTATCTGACATGCGTTCTGGGGAAGCGCTGTGTACTCTGTAATCATTGGAACATTTCCCTGTTGGGACTATTTTGATGCAGTGGTAGAAGTTCTGTTTTTTTCTGGGGTAAACAGTCTGAACGGACTGGATTTTTGGTTAAACACATGCATGTATGCTACTCTTGGGAATGATTATTTTCAAGTTTGGCTATAAAGTCCAACCAGTGTCCTTCCTTGGCCCTGTGCCTTGAAGGGAAAGGGTTGGAGTCCTAGCAGAGCAGTTGCCCCTCAGCAGTAGCTGGTGGCCTCTGGGGAGGCAGCCTAGAGCGCCCCTCAATCCTGCATCTTCTGGGAGGCTTGGCACCTCAAGCTGCCGCCGCGGTGCCATGGCAACCGCGAAGCTCGGCTCTGTGCTCCCTCCCCCCGCAGCTGGTGGAATCCACCCTGGAGAGCTCTGGGCAGTTCTCTACGGCTCCACGCCTACCCGCAGGGCGCCCGGGTGCAAACCTTTGCCCACTCCCTTCCCTGCTGATCTTAAGCCTGAGCCACCACAAACCCTTTCTCAGGCCATCTTCTCCCCACCCCTCACACACACACACACACACACGCGCGCACACACACACACACACACACACACACACACATATTCAAAGGCGCGAGCGCGCAGAGGCGCCCTGTTGAAGCAGGGCTGACCCAGCTACAGCGACTCTTATGCAGGGCCCGAGAAAACTTTGCAGCTGCACGGGGCACCCCGCCCAGCACCGCCCCCCGCCCAAGCCGTACTCCCGCGACCGCCCGCGGGCAGTGTCTTCCAGCCCCGTGGCGCACACCTCGGGTCGCTGACCTGGGGCGCAGTGGGGCTGCCAGCAAGGCGCAGCCACGTGTCGCCTCCTGGGAGGGCGCACGTGGGCGCCTCGCCCTGCCTGGGTCGCAGCCATTTCCCGCCTGCAATCCCGAGTTGGCGCAATTTGGCATCTTTGGGGCGCCCACTCAGCCCACAGATTTTCGAAACGTACTTCCAAGACTGGAGGGCACGTTAGAGAGTGCTGTCCTAGGTGCGGTCGGAGGTTTCGGGGCCCCGGTGTCGGCCGCAGAGCCCGCCAAGCCCCAGGCAGGACGCCGCCGAGTGTAGGCGCGGGCCGAGCGCGAGCAGCCGGCCGCAGTCGGGCACCTTTGTTTCCCTGCAGCTGCGCGGCCGCCGGGGGGCGGATCTCGGAAGCGGATCCCCCGGCGGCGGGACGTGGCCCCGTGGCACCTCCGGGCTGCTGCGCCGGGTGTTTCCCAGAGAGTCTGTTCTGAGCCCCAGTCCTCCACGGAGCTCCAGGAGCTCAGGTGTCCGGCCCCGCTCCGCGCGCTCAGTCTGGGGCTTTGGCGGGTTTTAGCATCTTCTTTTAGGAGACGCTTTCTCAACTACTACTGTGTCCGGTCTTCTCGGTCAGGTGATTATCCAGTCTCTACCGGAATTGGAATGTAGAATGCCAGGAGCAAAGACATCAACTCCAAACTTTCTTTCAAACTTCTCCAAGATACTGCAGACCTTTCCTCGGATTGAGCCACTTCTTACCTGCTTTTCTTTTAAGCAAATTGGGAGAGCGGCTTTCTTAAAAGCGTCCTAGAAGTGCTTGGTGTCTTTGGTACCCATCCATGGTGTTGGGAGCTTCACCTCCCCGAGGGTGAAGGCAGTCAGTGGCCAGCTCGGGCGCGCCCACGAAATAAAAACCACTATGTGAGAGGGAACGGAGACCTTATTACTCTCAGTATCCCATGTGCTCCCAGATATAATCATTGGTAACAGATGTACTGCAGCTCAGAGGAACGTGAGGGGGTTGGCTGAGCTTGGGAGCTGCCACTGTCAGACAAGTTCTTTGAAAAAGACTTTTTCCTTTGGGAGGTGAAGTGGGCGGGCAGGGGGAGTGGCCTTACTTTTGGAAGCAGGAAAACCTACTCTTGGGAGGCGGATGGCAGAGTGATTAAGGCTACTATCAGCCACAGATAAAACCAGAACACCTGCTCAGCTGACAGGAAAGCCAAGAGAAAAATCTTTTCAAGAATCGCCCACACAACGGATACCCTTTTGTAATAAACCGTTTTTTCTTATAAACCCATGCTTATTCTTAAAGCTTCAAAGCATAACTTGATGTGCTCCATCAACGGAGGCACAATCATTTCAGAAATTGGCTTTGAAAAATGATCTTTCGGTCCTTGCACTCCTCCTCCCAGGCACATGAAACAACATATTTTCTGGTTTTGTGAGGCTGTCTTTCAGAAATGAACGAGGGGATACATATCAGTGAACACTTTTTCAGACAAGTTTTGCTTTTCGATTGAATGCAAGTGATCATTACAGTGTGTTCATTCCCTGAATTCTCAAATGGCACTGTTTCAACATTTACTCAGCGCAGGAAAGTTAATATGAATTGTTTTCACACAAAGGAGAAAAATACCATACATTTAGCAAGGAGGATACAACATTGATTATCAGAGGTTTTAAAGTCTACTCGCTATAAAGTGTTGTCTATGATGACAGTACTTTATTGTCGTTTAGTTACATTTTCTGATAAAATGCTGCAGAAATAAATTTTCTGATAAAGGAAATCTTTTTGATAAGTAAATTTAACGTTCACATGAGAGAGATTATTTCCTTTTTCTTTTGTTTTAAAGGATTTTACTGCCTTACTGTAGCCTCAATAACATTTGTTTCTTGGAAATTGGCCTACCCTGTTTTTACCCATTGAAGTCAGCAGTGGCTCACTTTCAGTTGTAATATACTTAAATCATCTACTGTATGTCTGGTGTATGGAGGAGATCTCAGTAGCTTGGTATGATGTGTTGAAATGTAAATGTTGATTGCGGGTGGTGAAGCTTTATCTTCTGAGGGCTTTCAGTTTGTCCTCCACTTATCAAAGTATTAGAAGTGCTCCAAGTGAATCTTAAAACCT